CCCGATTAGCGTGAGCATCCTTGCACCGTTTTATGTTGGAGGCTTAGCCACCCAGGGCTTCCAGGAGTGGGAGGGAGACCCCTGGCTTTATCACGCTTGCCATCTTTTATCTTTATTTTTTATTGGTTTTATTGTAATATCTTTGATTGTTGTGAGCTACCCAGAATCGTTGAGAGTTGGGTGCCATTCAAATTTAATAAACTATTATTATTATTATTATTATTATTATTAATAATAATAATAATAATAATTTAATTAAGGTGGGTATGTCTGCAAATTTGGGGGGGTTCATTGAGCATGTGAAAAAACTTTCCTTTTGTCCCCTGGTGGTCCAGTTTTTGAAGGAAATTGTACTAGAGCAGCTTCTGTGGGGCTCAAATTCCAGTCAAAATTGTTGGGTGTGATAGCCATTTATGTTTATTTTCAGGTAGATAACCTCAGGAAATCCATCAATGTTTTATCCTTGAGGTCAACTGCTCATGAGTCCCACAGATGGATAGGCTCAATTTCTGGTCTTGCTTCACAATTTTAATCATAAATGTAGTAAAGATACAGTCTCCAAGTCAAGCTGGGCTCCTGGTGACTTCACAGATACATCCGAATAGTTTTCTTGGCAGTGGTTTACCACTGTCACCTTCTGCACTTTCTACTTCCTAATCTAGACCACCACTTTGGGATTTCATAGTGGTCTCCCATCCAAAAATTAGCCAAATCTCATTCTTCTGGCCTTCTTGACATCAGTGGAAATTGGCTAGTTGCTGCCACCTAGCTGGGCACGTCTCATGGTACATGAGCCATTATAGAACATCTGGAAAGGGAAGAGATAACCCGTGTTGACTTTTGCTTGTGTATTTTTAGTCCTGTATTTTAGTCATGTATCTCAGCTGCTGTGTATTTTAGTGTTTGTATTTAGGATGGGAATTTGTTTTTAATTTATTTTAAGATTTTTTGCTAACTCTGCTTTTAATTTGTTTTAAGATTGTTCGCTGCCCAGAATCACTTGCTGAGATGGGCAGCATGCAAATTGAATAATTAATTAATTTTGAGATTACCTGTATGCTGCCTCAGAAGGATTTGTATCCTGAAAGATAGTATATATCTTAATAAAGGCATTGTATTATAAAGCCATACTTCCGCTCCATTCCTGTTTTCTTCAACCTAGTGCTCTTCAGTTCTGATGGACTACAATTCCTATAGTCCCCAACCATTGCTGCTCTTCTTCTACAACATAACATTGACCTTACAATGTCCTCCTCTTCAGTAAACTAAAAATATCCTTTCATAGGATCCAAGGCTGTTCATCTTAGCTTGTATATCCCCCAAGCGGAGAAATTCTGTGGACTGAGCAAATTTGAACATCATGCTAAACCAGGTTAAGGACTTGGCGGGGAATACCCCAAATTGCCCTTGTTAGGAAGGTACCAATATGGCCTAGTATATCCCTGAACCTCAAGTTTTGCATAAATTTAACAATGAGAGCAATGCTTTAGGGAAAAAAACCACACACAATTGCCCTGTAAGCCATTATTTTCATCTGATGTAGAGCATGGATGTCTTAACATTTTTAGACTAAGAGCAGCAACAAATAGGTGGAACCAGGTTAAAAAAATGAATAGATCTGGGATAAAAACTGAAACTGATTTAATGTAATAAATCAATCACAATGCATTTTTGTCTGTAGCAGTGATAATTTGGCAGCTGCTTTGGGGGATGAACTCAACCATTTGGGGGCTGTCAAGGGCTCTAGGGCTTCAGACTGAACTTCCTATTGAGGACTGTTGCAGAGTTAATAGCACTGAACAAAAGTGTAGTACACTTTTGTATGTAGTCCTCACTTACCGACCACAATTCTATCAGCAATTATCTATTGCTAAGTGACAGTTGTAAAGTGAAACATGTGACTGCGCCCAACTTACGATGTCAGTTCATCAGTTCTGGCTGCAGTTGTTGAGCAAATCACCCACAGTCGTTAAGCGCAATGTCACGTGACCATGACTTGCGACTTCCTGCTGGCTTCCCATTGTCTTTGCTTTTTGGAAGCCAGCTGTGAAGGTCACAAATTGTGATCACATGATCACTGCAGGATGCTGCAACCATCGTAAATGCGAGCCTGTTGCGAAGCACCCAAATTGCAATCACATGACCACAGGGATGCTGTGATGGCCGCAACTTCAAGGACCAGTCATAAATCTTCTTTTTCAGCACCAACATAACTTCGAATGGTCACTGAACGAGCAATCGATAAGTGAGATCTGTAATCCTACTGATATTTGTGCCTTTCCTTGTCCGCACCGCATTCAGTTGTGACTCTTTTTACAGATTCACTTTGAACATCCGTGTTTTTTATTGCTGTGATGGGGTCGGAAAGCCTCATGATCCTTTATGAAGATAATTCAGTGGAAGTCCACTATGCAGACAGATCCAGATTGCTCCTTTCTCCATGTGGATCAGAGTTCTTATTCGAAAAGGCCATTCCTCCCTCTGCTCATCCAATGCAGCCACCAGAAAGGGTTCGTCAAAGGACACCGTTTGCTATTAGCATCTATCGGGTAAACAAATCCTTCTTTCTCTAGGCAGGAGAGAAAGATGGGGTGCTGTGGGATAATAGAATTGTAGTAGGGCATGTTTTGCTCAGCATAGAAATAAACTCTAAAGAAAAGTAATTCAAAGGGCTGAGCAAAAAATTGGCAATTCTGAAAAGTCAACAGAGGGGACCAATTTATCACTGACATGCCGGCAGACTGAGGCTCCATTTGATCCAGTTCTTTTTATCATCACTCCCAGTGCTCCTTGTATGAGTGCTACTGCCTATGTAGCCAAAACAGCACCATGCACAAAGAAGAGGGTAGCATAAGGAGGCTTAGAAGATATTCGGTGAAAACAATGTTAAGCCCCCCAAACAATCTAAATAAAGCAGTGTTGTCGAAAGTTGGCCACTTTAAGATGAGTGGACTTCAACTCCCAGAATTCATGCTGGCTGGGGAATTCTGGAAGTTGAAGTCCACTCATCTTAAAGTGGCCAACTTTCGACAACACTGAATTAAAGAGTTAAATATATTTTGAGTTTGCAGAATACTGACCATTGCAGGTCAGGGGCAATGGTCAGGAGTCCCTAGAATTCTAAACAGTAGCACTCCAAAGTGCAAGATGTTCTTGTACAGTGGGGCAAAAAAGTATTTAGTCAGCCACCAATTGTGCAAGTTCTCCCACTTAAAAAGATGAGAGAGGCATGTAATTTTCATCATAGGTGTTCTTGTACAGTGGGGCAAAAAAGTATTTAGTCAGCCGCCAATTGTGCAAGTTCTCCCACTTAAAAAGATGAGAGAGGCATGTAATTTTCATCATAGGTGTTCTTGTACAGTGGGGCAAAAAAGTATTTAGTCAGCCGCCAATTGTGCAAGTTCTCCCACTTAAAAAGATGAGAGAGGCATGTAATTTTCATCATAGGTGTTCTTGTACAGTGGGGCAAAAAAGTATTTAGTCAGCCGCCAATTGTGCAAGTTCTCCCACTTAAAAAGATGAGAGAGGCATGTAATTTTCATCATAGGTGTTCTTGTACAGTGGGGCAAAAAAGTATTTAGTCAGCCGCCAATTGTGCAAGTTCTCCCACTTAAAAAGATGAGAGAGGCATGTAATTTTCATCATAGGTGTTCTTGTACAGTGGGGCAAAAAAGTATTTAGTCAGCCGCCAATTGTGCAAGTTCTCCCACTTAAAAAGATGAGAGAGGCATGTAATTTTCATCATAGGTGTTCTTGTACAGTGGGGCAAAAAAGTATTTAGTCAGCCGCCAATTGTGCAAGTTCTCCCACTTAAAAAGATGAGAGAGGCATGTAATTTTCATCATAGGTGTTCTTGTACAGTGGGGCAAAAAAGTATTTAGTCAGCCGCCAATTGTGCAAGTTCTCCCACTTAAAAAGATGAGAGAGGCATGTAATTTTCATCATAGGGCAAATAAATTCTTTAAAAATCAGACAATGTGATTTTCTGGATTTTTCCCCCCATTTTGTCTCTCATAGTTGAGGTATACCTATGATGACAATTACAGGCCTCTCTCATCTTTTTAAGTGGGAGAACTTGCACAATTGGTGGCTGACTAAATACTTTTTTGCTCCACTGTAGGTTGCATTTGTTCCAGTTTTCAAATTGTGCTTTTGACATTTCTTGGAAGATCTGTGGAGAACCATCCTATTCATGTCCTGATTCTGAGCACCCCCTAAGTATCTAGCTAGCATCTGTTTTATGAGAACAGAAAGCTGGACTAGGGAATGCATTGGTCCGATCCAGTTAGACTCTTGTTCTGCTTCTAGGACACCTCACGGAAAGAACCGTACTGGTGTACAAATGTTTGCCAATCTTCCTTTGTAGTGTGCAGCTATAGAAGAAGGTGGTTTTGTTCAGATGAGGCAATAATGAACAATGGGAAGCCTCTCTGGAATATTTCCTGGATCTCTCTGTAACATGAGAGGGTTCTGGGGAAGTTCAACAGTTCCTTGAAAGACAAGTTGGTGTAATATTGAAATTAATGGAATTAGCAGAGATGGCGAAATTGACTGCCTTGATTAAAGAAAAGACGCCGTCTAGCTTTGTTTCTGTGTGGAAACTACTCTCGGACATTTTACTTGATACACAAAAAAATGAAATTTTGACTTCAGGATTTGATGATTTTGATTTGATTTTATTTATTTTATAACAACAGAAATATCTTGTATTACTTTTTTATATTTTTACTGATATAGGGTTATTTTGTAAAGTTGTTTTTAAGGTTAGAGTAAAGGATAGTTTTTATTATGTGATTTTTTTTAGATGTTGGAGTAAGAGGTGAATTTATTTTATACTTATACCTCTACCAAAGAAAGTCAGAAGTTACTTTTTTTCTCTCTTTGCTTTTCTTCTCTTTTTTTTAAATTTCTTTGATTTTTCTTCATTTTACTGTTTTCTGAAATTTAATAAAAAAAAATTAAAAAAGAAAGAAAGACAAGTTGATTGAGGAAGGGCCCCTGAAGACAGAAGAAGCTTGCCAACCATCATTATTTTCTGTCCAGCAGCTCTTCAGTGTCTCAGGCAGAACTTTATCTTTGCAAACTCAAGACTCTCTAAGTAGAAAACCAAGATTCTGAGCCTGGGCCAAGAATTTTGGACCTTCCTATCATATTTGCTGTCTTTAATAGCCATGTTTTTTCACTTCTTACCTATGCCATAAAACTTAGGCTTGTCTATTTTTTTTCTTTATTATTTCCTTATTTCCTTTTTTTTCAGTATAACGGAGCAGTCTTTATTTGAGCTCAAGGACGAGTAGACAGTTGTGATTCTGTTTGTTTTTAAGTCATCTCTTTGGGATGCTGCATTGAGTAGTGCAGACCTGGATGCCAGTAAATTACCTTTGAGAAGACTGAGTAGATGGATTTTGCTCACTTTCCAATTACAAGTCAAAAACTTCTTTTTCCTCTGTTAAGATCAGAGAAATTATGCTGGAGGACATTTTAAAATAGCTTTTTGCCTTCCCATATAGAAGCGTATTATTTTATTTTTCATGTACTAAATGCAACAGAACAGAACATAGGTCCTTCATGGCCATTCTTGTAAAAATATAGCAGTAAGGATAAGGAGTAAGAAGTGGTTTTGCTAATATGGAAAATCAAATTCTCTTTCCTTTTATTTAGGAACAGCTCTTGCGGGCAATAGATTTCCGAAATCAGTACTCTGAGCGGCCCTATTTACCTTCAGACATTATACCTCCAGAGAGGAAAAATGTAAGTTTTGTGTATGTGTTTGCAAACAAAAAAGGATTCCAATGAAATATTTAATTGGTTAATTTTATGTATTATCTTCTTGGATTATCAGACAATGACATAATTATACTGATTCAGTTGGAAGTACAGACATATGACTTTAGTACACATTGCCAGTGTTTGCACAACATGCTTTTCTCATGCAGCTGCTTACCCAGTCATAGTTCATTGCTGATAGATCAGGAAGCCCATAATCCCACTAACCAGGTCAAGAGCCACCATCTTCTGCACTACAAACAGCTTGTCAATTTCCTCCAGTCCTGCTTGGTGTTTGTTTCAGGAGATGTGTTAGAAGTTCACTCTCCAATAGTTACTTCTCCATTGGCCAGATCAGGCTTGAGCACTGCAGTCAGTCAGTTTGGGAAGTGAACTCTGTTGTCATTGGCTTTGTAGTGCGACACTTTCCATGTGAGCCCCTCTAGTTCACCACCTCATTTTTACTGGAGGACTAAGTGGGGCTTGACCTCTACTCCAGTTGCTTAGGCTTGTTCAAAATAGCTAATCAGGGAAAATCATCTGACTCAGCATTACCCCAGATCTGGCAGAGTCACACACTGTGCTGAACTCTTTATTGACTTGGTTATGCGTGTTGTACAAGCCTAGCCATTCCGTCTAAATCAGTGTTTCTCAGCCTTGGCAATTCTGCAAGAGTTGCTAAAGTGGAGAAATATTGGTCTAAATATATACAAAATGAATAATTAATCATTCTTACTCACAAATAATCCTAAAATCCATGATGTAGCAGTTCTGTATATTCTTAACAGCATTTAACATGTTCTTCTAAATTATTGATAAAACATTGATTTTATGTTAAGAATGTTGCTTGGTTCGGAAATGTGTTCGTTCCCATAATTAGAATCTGCTTTACATAGTTTCCTTATAAATAATTACACCAAGAAAAATAATCCATTCCCGTTTTCCATATTTAAAAATCTCAGCTGCACCCCTATTAATGAATCATTTGTATCTGTAGAGGACAGAGGGAATGGCCTTGAGGGACTGGAAGAAAAGCTGCTACCAAGGCAAAGGTCAGATAAAAGGGGCCTGAGTCCAGGGCAAGAATGTAACATGTGTGAACGTCTCAGACAAGTGCCTTCCTAGTTCACAAGAAGATGAAAGGAGGGAGGCAGAAAGCGCTTTCAGACTTGCAAGATTCTGGTACTATAATTCTATAATAAAAGTAGTACTGACCTATGTGGCATTAGTTTCCTAATCTGATCTACCTTCAAAGGCTGATATCATCTTATTGCAGCTAGAAGAAACGCATCAGATTAAACTCCCTTATTACAAACACCTGTTAAATTTTATGAAAATTAAGTTTGTAATATTACCATCCTTTTTTATTATTCATAATCATCCTTGAAAATTGCTGGAAATTGTCTTTGTATAAACTGTAATGCTTCCAAGCTGCAGCTCTTTGTTCCATTATCTACTCTGTTCCACTTATTTGTATTTAGTCTACAATCTTATGCCTCCTGAGATAGCACCCCAGGATCCATAGGATGGTTGAATTTCCTTCTCTAAAATTGAACTCAAAACTCAAAAAACTCCAAAGAGGGAAGCTGTGGCTTGAGATTCCTACTGCCACCTCCATACTAGCCTTGGTAGTTTCTAAGATCAGAGGATTCATCCCAGAAAAAAACAGAGTTGTGGTGGAATTTGCATATGTGCCATGCCAGAATAAGTGTTGTTGTATATGGACCCTTGTCCTTTTCCATTCCTCAGTTCAGAAAAATACCTTGGGTTGATCTAAATGTATTCTTTCCTACTACACACAAGGATGTGAACAGAGAAGTACAAACACTTCTTCATCTTCTCTTTTGATCTGCAGTTGGCAAAGCATTGGGAAAGTCTAAGCCAGTTTCTCAACCTTGGCAACTTTAAGATACGTGAACTTTAACTCCCAGAATTCCCCAACCAGCATAGTGGCTGGAGAATTCTGGGAGTTGAAGTCCACATATCTTAAAGTTGCCAAGGTTGAGAAACACTGGTCTTAGCTATCAGAACTTTAAGGCTCATTCTCTTCTGCAGGTCATTTTCACAGATATCACTGAAGCCGAGTGGCCTGGCCTGCATAGTGGCTGGAGAATTCTGGGAGTTGAAGTCCACATATCTTAAAGTTGCCAAGGTTGAGAAACACTGGTCTTAGCTATCAGAACTTTAAGGCTCATTCTCTTCTGCAGGTCATTTTCACAGATATCACTGAAGCCGAGTGGCCTGGCCTTCATACAGCTAATGAGGAAATACATCTGCTAAACAGAGGCGTGAAAGTCTCTTCTTTAGATGGGCATGCTTCTCTTTTTTTACCAGAGCTTCAGCAAGAATTTACAGTGGAGTTTTTATGCAAAGTAAGCAAGACGTTATCAACCACATTATCATTTTCGGAGAGTTGCTCCTGGAAGTCAACCCAAGAGCGTTATGAAAGTTCCAACCAAAGTTCTGACTTAAAAATATGTTCCAGTCTTCTGGGAACAAAAACGAAGCACAACATGGGCGTAGAAAATTCTGTGCGAGAGAACCATTCAGGTGCTATGCAAAAAGAAGATAAGATCTCTCAGTCTTCCCAGAAGAGTTCATCTGAATATTCTAGGGTTATACAGCATATATCGGTGTCGTCCTGCCCTGAAGAATGGAAGTACCCTTTGTCATTAGCCTTAAGGATCAATCAGTCATATAATGGAAATGAACTTGACTCTAATAAAGGAAAGAATGAAGGTGATAGTGTAGGCCTGGATATTTCTAATGAATGTGGAATGGCTAACACAGTTACTTGTCTACCTATGGCTTTACCTCTCAGTTGTCATGCTCCATTCCTACACAGGTAAATTAGTTTTATACATTAAAATGTCTCTATTTCTGTCTTTTTAAAAATGTTATTGCCCTTAAATAGCTAAAAATCTGTTTAAAATCAGGTACAAATCTCCATACTCTCTTGACTTTTCAGTAGGTTTTTTATGTTTGGAGTTTCCAAATACAATGAAAACCTTATTTTAACTGACTAATTAGGGAAGATGCTGGCTGTTATTCACAAATGTCCAATAAATATGAGGTATCATGGTGTTTTTTGTTATTTGTATAGCAGTGTTTATTATGCAAATGACACCGTTATGTCATTTGTATTAATTTGCATCATTTGGGTGATGATATCATTAGGCAAATTATGTTAATCCCCATGGAAATTTGGTCCATTGCATGCATAATCTGTTGAAGTCTGCTAAATCAAGGCTTCCCTGTATTGCCTTTGTTCTAGCAGAGTGCTAAATCAATGTTCTAAACCATCCTGAACATTGGCTAACAAACTTGGGTGAGTTGCATTATGAAGAGGCAGAAAAAGCTTTTCTCTCTCCCTCTCTCTCCTTCACTCTCTCCCACTTCACTGCTCAGCCCCCCATGTCTACCTCTAGTCAGCTGCTATCTGGGCTGATCCAGACCTCCAAGCCTGGTTTGGTAAAGGGGAGACCCTATTTTGAAGGAACCAGACATCCCTACTACCCAAAGCCTTGGATAAAAGTGTCCAGCTACTGGAGGGGCAAGCCCACATCAGCCTAAAAATAGCCAGTAGGTGTCAGGTTGATCCAATCCCACAAGGATCCCTGGACAGTGACACCAGTGTGGTCAGCGAAGCACTTCATATTGAACACACAGACAAGCTGCCATGGCTTGTTCGTTCTTAAGTGGGAAAACACGACTTTAAGACCTGAACAGTTGAGGACAACTTAAGGCTGCCTCAGATATAGATTGGTGATGAGGTGAAGGCCGCAATCATATCATGAGGATATGACAGAAAAAAACAAGTTGCCAGGCCACATTCATGCTGTGGTTCAAATTGGGAAAGGCCCCTATAGATCCTAATAATAACTAGTGAGGTTTCTATCCACCATCCACTTTAACCCCATAGGTACATTTCCAGACAAAATTTCTCTTTTCTCTAAAATGTATGCAACTCAGAAGCATTATTGTGACTAAAAGTGATTCTGGAAGCTGACACTTTGCTTTATAGCAAGCCAGAGCCCCCCCGCTTTGTTTTTTTAATTAAAAATATTTTTTAAAAAATGAAGTGACGTTCAGGGGAGCAGTAAAGAATGTTTAGGGTACCATATTGCTTATCCTGTATACTTCAGAATGTAGTTATTGTAGATGTGTTCCACAGTAGGTATTCAGGTAATTGTATACTTCAGGTATTCAGTATCTTGTATATGGAGAGGACCAAGTTGGGGGAAGTTGCTTTCAGGATTCCAGTCATATGTTGATTTTGAAAGCTTAATATTAAGTATTCAGCTTAAGACAGAAACCTTATTGTACAACAGATGCTTTGATGTAATTTGCAGCTGTTTATTATGTTACTTCAGCTTTGGATGTAAAATCTAAATAATCATACACTTACTAATGTTGACATTTCAAAGCATATTATGTTATATTTTCATTTTTTCTATCTTTAATGATCTAAGTCACCTAAACACCTACAACACTATATAAATGCCACTGTATTGAAATAGTATAATGTTTTACTATGTCATATAAAAATATAATAAGACTTTTTTTAAAAAATGTACTGTTGATTTGATCCACAGGTGGACTTTCACTGATTTTTTCCAACAAAAAAAGGAGGAGGATGGATATTATTCGTACTCACAGCCTGTCAAAGTACTTTGGAGCAAGGGTATTATTTACAGGTAAGTGCGTGTGTGTGTTTATGAAAGGAGATTTAAAGGCTAACAAATCTGTATTCTTATCTAATGGTAAGAACACTGAAGAGTTTGCAAAATAATAATTACAGATTTTTAATGAGCATCAAAGTTCCAGTATAATTTACAGGTACTCCTCACTTACCAACCACTCATTCAGCAACCATTCAAAGCTACAACGGCAGTGAATGAATGGTACTTACGACTGGTCCTTGAAGTTCCAGCTGTTGCAGCACCCCCATAGTCACGTGATCACTATTCAGGCACTTGGCAACCAGCTAGCACTTAGAACAGTTGCACTGTCCCACAGTCATGCAATCTCCATTTGCAGTCTTCCCTGCCAGCTTCCACAAGCAAAATCAATGGTCACAAGTCACTCTGGTAAGGCGCCCACCCCCCACAGGCCCTCCTGTGTGCCACACCCTCCTTCCCTTTACCTCCCTGCACTCACACACACCAGTACCCTCCTTCCCTCAGGTGCCACCCCCTGCACTCCCTACCTGGAACTCCCCTTACTTCCTGCTTAATGACCCACGCATCTTGGAGTTATGGTGGCAATCAGTACTGCCTGGATTGCCATCGCTAACGATGTGGTCATGTGATGTCGCACTTTATGACCACACTGCTTAGTGATGGCAATCCTGGTCCCAGCTGCCATCATAATCCGAGGGCTACCTGCATATATGTTATAAATTATATATAGTAGATTATTTAAATTATTTATATGTATTTATAAGCATAGTAACTATGTTCCCACTGGTGGATGTAGTGAGAGAGTTTTTGCCAATGCTACCTTGTAACTTTCTGAGCATCCTAAAAATCTGCAGCGAGAGAGAGAGGGAAAGTCTCCAGAAGGGAGGGAGAATCAACAAGAATAATCTCCCTGCTTTCTGCAGGAGACATCTTCGCTCTGGTGCTCCAATTCACCATAAATAATAAGATTTGTCAGTGTTTTCCTTCCTTTACAGTCACAGACTTTTACCCTACTATAACAGATAAGGTTTCTGAACAGATATTTAATGCAATAAGCAGGCAGTAAATAGCTGCTATCCCTGTTTTTCTGCTTAATATGAATAATAGTTCAGAAACTTCAGTGTAGTTTACTGCATCAATTATGCCCATTGAAATCAAGGGCATAAATTAACCCCTTAAGGGTTGATGATCTTGCCTTTTCTGAAAGCAAAGAACAACTATTTCTCCATCTCCCACCCTGATGATGCTCCAGAAAGCATTGAAAACTTGGTAATTCTCCCAGGCCTGGGGTGAGAAGGTGGAGAGCTCCTATGAGATTTGATTTGGTTTGGTAGGGTTTTTCTTTCTCTCGATGCTCATCTCTTGGAGGGGGGGTTATTATATTGTTTTAGCGTTTTTATAGTGTAAAGCACCCAGAGTCACTGGGAGTCAGGGTTTTTTAACTCTATATATACATAAATAAAAATATCTCTAAAGAGTTGGTGAAATCTGATACCTACAACATGTTACACGGACTCTGCCTTTAGACTACCAACTCCACCATGGAGTCACTTCAAAATGAAGATCTCATGGTTTTAGACGTCAAGCATCAGTTTTTGCTTATTGTCTAAATCCTGTTTTTTATTTTTTTAAATAATACTTTACTTGATAAATTGTTCTGGAGATTGTGAAAACTTGCATACCCTTTTGATATTTCTTTAATTTTGATATCATCCAATTATGGATTTTAATTCTTTCTTCCATGGATCAGTAGGCTATGATGGCTTTTTAAATCCCAGAAAATTAATTAAATTAAAGATAATTAAGGCTGGATTTGTCTACAATTAATCCACACAGCCTATTGAGATACTAAAAACATAGTGGAGCTAATGACCAATACTTTCTATCAGGTTTTCTCTTGGACTTAGAAACATAGAAATTTACCCTGGCGATGGATCAGTTTTTAAATCAGAAGGTTTCTTTTTGGGAAAATATTTCACTCGTTACTGTGTTCACCAACAAACAAAACAGGTAAATAACACAATGTAAATCTATTCTCGAATATTTTATGACAATTATTTTTCAGGAATGCTCTAAAACTAGCCCATATAAGATTAGTTTTGTGATAGATTAAGAACCATGACTACTGTTAGCATGACTGCATGCTTAAAAACTATGGAAAGAGAGGGAGGAAGACATATTTTGCACTTTTGGATGATCTCTGGCAGGAGAGGGATGGGGGTAGTGCATCCATCCTTGCTCTTCTTGATCTCTCAGCGGCTTTCGATACCATCGACCATGGTATCCTTTTGGGATGGCTTGGGGAGTTAGGGGTGAGTGGCACAGTTTTGTGCTGGTTCACCTCCTTCCTCCAAGGGCGGTCCCAATCGGTGCTGATAAGGAGCGAGAGGTCCAGCCCACGGCCCCTTCTTTGTGGGGTGCCGCAGGGTTCGGTACTTGCCCCTCTCCTTTTTAATATCTACATGAAACCACTGGGTGAGATCATCCACCACCATTGGATGAGGTATCAGTGATATGCAGATGATACCCAGTTATACATCTCCATCCCAGGTGATCTGAGTATGCTGTGACTACTCTTTCACGGTGCCTGAAGGCTGTGGGGGTCTGGATGGGGAACAACAGGCTTCAGCTGAACCCTGGTAAAATAGAGTGGCTGTGGGTTGGGGGCTTCTCTGTATTCGGAAGTTTACCATCTTTGGTTCTGGATGGGGTCGCACTACCCCAGACAGACCCAGTGCATAATCTGGGGGTCCTCCTGGACCCATGGCTCCTGTTCGAAGAGCAGGTGACAGTCATGGCCAGGAGGGCCTTTGCTCAACTACGTGTTGCGCACCAATTACTCCCTTTCCTGGATCCAGGAGTCCCTCCAGTCAGTCACTCATGCCCTAGTCATTTTCCGTATAGACTATTGCAATGGGCTCTGCATGGGGCTACCCTTGAAAACTATCTGGAAGCTTCAGCTGGTTCAAAATGCAGCCG